TACTATTAAATATTGTTCATTCAAAGCAACGGGTTATACTTCACTATTTGTGTTTTCGTTTTCAATATTCATTTAAATTTTATTTCATTGCATTTTAAATTATGCAGGTCAATTTTACAGTTTTAAGTCCAATTATTGTTTAGATGAAATTTTGACAGTCTCCCGACGTCTCCCCCGCATAGGGGGAATTTTGGGAGAACTGGATGTGCCCCCACGCTAAAAAAAACATGTATGGTTATTGTTGCTTGACACCTCAGTCAATGTTTTCAATCCCGTTATGTTTAAAAAAGTGTGTATGGGCCTTCGAGATCCCTACATAAAAAGTTTGTAAATTTACCCGTTAGCATGAAAACACATACGAGTGCTTAGGAGTGTCCTTGCCATGCTAAGAAAAACATGTACAATGCCCACCCGCTTCGCTGCAAGCATCGCGTACGAGCTTCTTGCTGCCATGCTACGAAAAGCACATACAGGGGGCTTGGTCGTTGTGCTGCAAGCGTCGACAATAGGATTTGAGTCTTTTTTTAGTTTAGTGAGGATTATATCTTAGCATGAGAGAGCGACGATGGTGTTGAAGCAAGATGAAGAGTCAGAACATACAAATCCCTCTCTTTTTTTTTAATATCTTTCTTTTTTATTTTTGATTTTTTTCCTAATAAATAATAATAATAGAGATAAACGCTATGTTTGGGGTGGGGGGGGGTGGTGGTGGTTAGAGAGGAGAGAGCTAGTGGCTTGGTGAGTTTGCAAGGATTGCAAGAATTTGAGTATTGGTGTCTACAGGGCTGTTTGGAGATGCTATGGAGGAAGCGTGAGCGGAAGAGGTATTCAGTGGGTAAAGTTGGGTTCGAGAGCTATAGTTGGTCTTCCCGGAGGGAGTAGAAGGGCTGCCAGGGTCTATTGTCAACAAAGGGAAGCGAAGGATGTGGTTAACGAAGAACTGTAGGTGGAGCTGAGGAGTGAAGCGACTGTACTAGGATGTAGTTTAGGTTAGGTGGCTGTAGGGGTTCGTGTATGTGATAGAGGGGAGATGAGGTAGCAGGTTTGGAAGAAGAGGAGGTCGACTAAAGGGTTGCTTGTGAGTGGGAGATGGGTAGCTGGTCGGATGGCCTGCTTATGGGAGGTTGAGTGGAGAGTGTTGGAGTCGATTGGAGAGTAGGAGAATGAGGAAGTGTTTGGTTGAGGGAGATTTTCATGAGTGGGGTTATATTAGAATAGATTTTTGCTTTGTTTCCTCCTTGCCATTTAACATGGACTGGGATTCGTGCGCTGAATTGCAGAGGGATAAGGTCAGTTGGGAGCAAGTTTTGCATAGGGATAAAGGGATGGAAATATTATAAGATTTAGGTTATGATTTTTTGTTATATCTATAAATATACAATTTTATAATAAAAAAGAATCATAATAATAAAAAGAGAGGTGTATCAACATTATCATGCAATTTTCTTCTCCCTTGGCACCTCGATTTGCATGTTGTCACATGTGCGGTGACCTGGGCAATATTACAATCATTTTGAGTATTTTCGACGTTAGAATGTAACGACAAAATCCATTTTGTGATCAAACATTGTTCGGACAACTCGAGCAACATTCCATCCGTAGTCTATCAGTTTCAACCGCCCTCCCTCGAATCAATCATGAGAGGGCCCTTGGAAAATTTTGATGATTCAAGCACGATGGCAAAGTCAGTTTTATTATCAAATGATGTTCGAGCAACGTTTGGGTCCGTAGTCCGTCAATTTTGATCGTCTTTGCTCTAAGCGAACACATGAGGTCTCCCTTTAGATAAATTATATGCCCTAGCTGCATCAACACAATCGTTTGATCAGCATAAGTCATTTGTGCAATTTTGCGTGGTGTCATGCAAAGCCAACAGTCGCTTTCGTCACTTGATCGACCTGATTTTTTTACGAACGGTTCTTCTTTGGTAAACTCAACATCCTGAATGCATTGATGTGATTTGTTTTGCAATCAGATGACATTTGAGGTGGTTTCGTGCATGATCAAGACTTTTGCATGCTCGTTCTGAGCTACATTGTGCCCGTTGACTGTCCTATTCGTTGCCTTTACTCGTGCTGGTTTTGGCATATATGTGGAGGTCAACACTCTTTTTGCAGATGAGTAAGTGTTATATAGGATGAGCTGTGATCATGCAAAGAAGCAATGAACAAAGATTAGAGTTTTCTAGAAATAAGGTATGTTTGAATAATTTAAATTATGAGAAAAAAAACTTACATTTGTTAAAAAATCACATAGTAAAAGAATTGTGGGATGCAAGTAGATATTCAAAAGGAAGTATACTATTTCAAATATTTGAATAAGCTAGATTCAAGGCAAGATTAGTGGAAGAGTGTTTCACTCAAAAGAAAGAAAGAAATAGATTTGAATGAGATTTTCCAATGTTGCTTTGCACACTTTGATTGAAGTAATATAATCTCTAGTATAATGGTTGCATAAAATAGCTTTCTACATGGATATCTTGAGAAGGTTTTCTTAGGTTAATTAGGTGGGTATGTTAGATTTCGTCGGATGAATAAATGTTCTTTTAAGGGAATCTTTATATGGATTAAATAGTATCCATGATAATTGAACAAGAAATTTTTTTGTAATTGAGAGTTTGTTTAATATGACTAGTTTCAATGCGCCTATCTAAGTGGTATTATTTATCTGCTTCTTTATATTGATGATATGCTTATAGCTATTTACAATAAGGTGGAAATAGCAAAGTGAAAAGTGTTGTTGAAAAACAAATTCAAAAAGAAAGATTTAGGACCATTCAAACGAATGCTTAGGATTAATATCAGAAGGGATGGAAAAAAAGGCTTGTTACACTTAACTCAATGCAAGCATGTTTGGGATGTTCAAAGAAGCTTGGAAAGAATATTACCAAACTTTTTTTCTCATTATATGGGAGCACTGTGAGTTGGAATGTTTTATCTTCAATTCTTTTTTTCTTCATCAATTGTAGAGGAAAAATAATGTTACTATTGAGGCTAGAAAGAAAGCATAGAATCAAAAGGATTGTGATGTGATACCACATGCGAAGGAGCTTCTTAAGAAAATTAAAAGTGATTGACAATGGAATTACAATTAAGAGCTTATTGAGATAACAAGTAAAATCATTAAAGGTTCTTAGTTGTTAACTTGCTTAGGCGAAGGAGTACAAGTAGATTAACCAAAAACTCATGGATAACCAAGGATAGTAGCAATACCAAAAGCTATTAATCAACAATCCGTAATTTAATAACGAGAGTTTCACCTTGGGGGTTGATCACTCAACTACACTAGGCTTAGCGGGAGAAGATCTTCAGCACACCAAACGATGGCATGAGGAAGGTTGCAACGTCGATGGTCTTGAGCCACAGAAAGGTCGACGGTGGTGGAGGAGACACGGATGGATAGCCGTTGACGGTCCACGAATAGTCCTCGAATTGCTCGTCGATGACGTCTACGAGCGTGGGGAGGATGCGATTCAAGTAGCCTTCAACGGTGTCGTCGAAGTCAAAGCCCACATCAAAGAACGGCGATTGGTGGATGTCGACTTGACCTCGATCGTTATGCACAAATCCAAAGTTCCATTCGGATTCCGCCATGCATGCTTGGCGTCGGAGAATCTTCCACACGAAGAGAGGAAGAACGTGGTGTTGAAAGAGAGTACTTGTCGTTTGATAAGATGGGAGAGGAGGGGAGAGGGCCGGCGGGAATCTCAAGGAGAGAGGGTGGGGGCCGGCGGGTGCAAGAGGGAGAGAGCTAGGGTGAGAGCAAATTAAGTTGGATGCTTCTCAAAATGGTTTACTAAAATCTGAAATTTAGTTTCAGGTTTTAGTAAATTTGGAGGGAAGTATTTGAAATAAATTTCAAATTTTGAATGTGATTAAGGGACTTAATGAGGGATTAATGAGGCTCATTAGGAGGGAGGCCGGCGGCTTGTAGAGGGGGAGGGAGAGGTTTGAAAACTTAAAACTGAAATTTAATTTCAGTTTAAGTAATTTAGGAGGGAAAAACTTTGAAATCAAATTATGATTTCAAAACGGTCAAGACATTAAACAAGCAATTAATGAGGAAATTTCTCCATGGGGGCCTGCGGCATGCATAGAGGGAGAGAGGGGAATTCAAGGGAGAAAGGATTCCAATTTAGGATGATGATGTGGCAATAAGTTTCATAACTCCAATCTAAATTAAATTGAAATTGAATCCCATCATGAAAACGTTCCTAAATTGGAGTTCCAAATAAGGAAAAAATTCAAAATTTGAAAACTGTGTAGGGAAGGGGGTTGGGTGGGTGAGGGGAAGTTGCCGGCAAGGTGACCGGTCGGGGTTGTGGTGGTGGCCGGCGGTGGGTTCCCAAGGGGCGGCGGCAATGAAGGGTTGGGAAGGGATTTTCTTGGGGTGGAGGAGAAGGAAGATGGAGGTGAATACGAAGGAGAAGATAGAAAACCTAACCACGAGCCTCGGACTCTTCCAACGACTGGTGGGCCTTGCGATTTGCTCCTCTTGAGCTATCTCCCTTCTCATGCTCTCATGCAAGAAGAAGAAGTAAAAACACACAAATTTTTCATTCAAATATTCATTAGCTATTACAAGAGAAAAGACCCATATATATAGGTCTCAAGCAAACAAGAAGAAATAAAGACTAGATTGCCCTCGGGGCCCCAACATGACTCAACTCAACATAAGGGTACAATAGGAAAACATAAAAATAAAATACATAAACAACTAAAAATATAAGCTCTGAATCGTGGCCATCGATCGGCGATGCTTCCGGCGATACACATGTTTGAACCTTGGATCGATGTCCTCATCAGATTGTTATGATAACTTCAGAACAAAAAATGAGAATTATAATATGATTTAATAGTCACAATGACATTTAGCTAAAGATCAATAAGGTATTTTATGAAAGAATAAAACACATTGACATAAAGTTACATTTATCAAGCATGTTCTTGTTCAAGGTACAATTAATATTTCGTAAGTACTTACTGATGATAATTCTACAGATATGTTGAGCAAGGTAAGTGTTTGGAATCAAATTCCAACATCCGACTCTTCTTCAGGTTAAGGATATCTCCTGGCTAAGATGGCTGTCAAGAGAAAGAGAGGCTTAGCTTGTCAAAGACCTTGATTCAAGGTGACAATTTTTGACCAAGTCTTAATTATTAACTTAAGCCCATCGTTTTACTATTGTTGCCTATTGTATTTCTTTTGTGTCCCAAGTATTTCCATGTTGCTTTTAGCTATTGACATTTTCTTGGCTCTTTTTTTTTTTCCTTTTTTAGCTGCAGGTTGGGCTCTAGGTAGTTGGAGGCTGTGAGAAGGTCCTAGCTTCCTTCTTCCTTGGGGTTTGAAAGCTTGAGCCATAAGGGATGGGGTGAGGGTGGTGAGAACATAGAGAGTTTTTCTTCCTCACTATAAATTGAAAGAGTGGTAGATCAGGAAGGCAGCTTCTATCCGGATTAGATTCTTTGTGATAATCGAATCTACAATCGGGATTCTACTCTTCATTTTCTTTCATTCTTGTTTCGATTCTCTGGAGGGCGGTAGATGTGCTGTTCAATTCTTGTGCTTGGGCTGAAATTGAAAAGCTTGGTGGCTAGAGGATCTGTGATCAGAGTGGTAAAAGGGCTTGTTATTCTTGTAATCAGATGGACATTACATCAATAAATCTAAGTCCCAATTTGTCACCGTGGATGTAGGCATCCGCGTGTGAAACCACGTGATTGCTCTTCAAGTTCTTGCTTGTTTTTTTATTTCTTGCATTAGCATTTACTTTCTGTTTTTCTTAAACTCTTTTTCTAGCAATTAGTGAATGGATTATTTGCATGATATCTTGTGGTGATGTTCTTATTGCGGCTAAGGTTCATGTCTGTGCAGTGCTCGGTTCCTTAGGGTTGAACAATGATTTTGTGCAGTTTGTTGTTGAAGTGGATTAGTCACTAAAATCTATATTCAGTTTATGCTTGTATAAAAAATCCTTTTCATTGTCTTATTTAATTTGAGAAGTTTAGTTACTTTTTCACATTGGAAAGCTCCTTTCATACAAAATGTGTGTTTCTTGAAGCTTGAGGCGTTATGGAAATAATAAATAATGTAAAGAAAGGATTGCACTAGCTGGCTAGGATGAACTTATTAGTGGTCGACTGGTTGCTAATCTGCAATTCAGACATGCCATTTACTGTAGTAAACCATGAGTGTGACACATTCATATTCATGGGCGGAGTACTGAATGATGTAGCAAAACAATTTTTGTATGATAAATGCTGGCTTTTTATTAATGCTTGAGTTAACTACCCACACTCATTTTGAGAATTTCTTTTTCTGGACACATTTTCTTGACATTTGTAAAATAACGTGGGAATTATTTGTCCTTTTTCAAGTTATGATAACGGTATGAAAATTCACTCAAAAACATATTTGCTGCATTCCTTAACTTAAAAGTTAATTTCTTACATTAAGCTGTTCAGCACCAGCACTACATTACCCACTCCCAAACTAGAACAAAACTCGGGGTGCTTCATTCAGGTAAAATTATAACCTTGCACTTTCATTCATGATTTCCTTCTAAACTGTTTTGATTCCTGACTTGAGCCGCGCCTTCTTTTGTATCGATTTTAAAGTGGTCAAGACGATTCTGCCCAAGCTTCAGTGAATACATGGCCGTCTTGTACTCAGCCCAGGTAAATGATTTGTAGCGTTGAGGATTGTCTGCTGTGATCATTCCTGGAAGAGGAGTTATCCATGCGTGGAGATCTGGTGCTGCAAAATAGATCATGGACATCCTTGACTTGTAGTAATTGGTCATTGCTCTGTGTCTCACGCTCACCAACCTTCCATTCGTCATGGCCTTCAACCACCAAAGAGAAAAGAAATCAAACATAGCATGAAAAAGCATGATTTCCCCCTATTGTTTTCGATAGGAATAGCTTATTTTATTTTATTTTATTTTTACTTGGATATTTTAGCGCTAGGTAGTCAACTACCTTGATATTTTTCTGAAATATATATATTCACTATTGTATCTTATAAGCACCCGATCTTCTTCAATGCGGCCCTTGCTGTAAGGACTGGCAAAGCTGAAACCAACCACCTTAGCTTGGTTTATGATAATTTTAGATTGTATGGTATGGATCATTTGATACATCCGGTCTGAGTGGAAGTGAGGAAAGGTTCCTAAATTCCCATCTTAAACTTTCCCTACCAAGAACATGCAGAATGAAAACCAATTTAGCTGCAAAGAGCCACCGGCCAGGTTCGTTAGACCTGGTCAAGTTTCGATAATATTTGTTCCAACCCAAAGTTTATCACCAAATCTGCGTTCACACCTATAATACGTTAGATGTATTTATGAAGTTTACTGCACATGTGAGTGGCAATTTGCGTCTTAACTTTCAAATTTTAACAGTTTGTGTTTGAAATCATTCAATATCTTAAAATTTAGTTTTTAAGCCAGCTTTATTTTTGCACACCTTCTAATTGTGGAAAGCTTCTGAATCTTATTTTTGAGAGGAGCTATTTGTCATCTATTATGAAAAAGCCACCTTGATGAGGAGGAATAGCTGGAAATTAAAGTAAAAGAAAATTAACCAACCTGGAGAGTATCTCCAACATTGATGAATACTGCAGTTGGGTCTGGTGGGACTGCAACCCATGCCATTCTACTGCCCAAGACTCCTGAGGCAGGTGCGAGTATTTGGAGACCTTCAATACCGTTTGATCTCAGCAAAGTCAGGATCTGAGGGTCTGTATGCTCGCCAAACCCAATCCTACTACTCTTCCTGCCCTTTCTTTTGCTCCACGTTTTGCTCTTGATGTCATTGTCTTTTTTTCTATTGTTACTGTTGCTATTTCTGTTGCAGTTTGAGGGGTAGTGGTTTAGCCTTAAGAGAGAATCACTCCCACTTTCCCGTATAAGCTTGCAAAGTTCCCCACTGCCCCCAAGCCCTAATCCTTCTTCTATCAGCTCCAGAATCTCGTTTGCTAGTTCCTTGATTGCCTCCACATAATCTTTCACTGCACAGCTGAGCTCGTCAACAGAAATGTTGGGAAAAGTTAGTTTGCAGGATAAAAGATCAAGAAAAGTTTGATTTGATTTGTCAGACACAGCGAAAGCTCCACCACTACTAGTACTCCACAGTTAAAGGAATCTCTACTTTTACTAAACCTATTTTTTGCCATAAATAGCTCGTCCTGCATGCCATCAGATCATTGTTTGGCTTTTTATGGATAAAAAAGTTGGGCATCATTGATTCAGGTATACTGTGCTTGTGGGTCTCACTCTCACTTTTCTTTGATTTATATCCATTAGGCGTATGTGGATTTCTGGTCAAAAATGGATTGCTCTTGGGTTGCTTGTTTTCTAAAGTGGGTTCATTGGGCTAGTGGTTTGAGATTTGGCAGAATCCTGAACATCTCTACGTGATGGGGCTTGTTGCTATGGTGCTATGGTTGGGTCATTAGGTTCAAGATTTCTCTAATCATTAATGTTAACTGAAGTGATATGTTTGATTAGTATTTGGTCATTATCTATGGTGATTATAGTGGTTTAATGTTATTCAGGATGCAGTTTATAATTTTAGATAAATTGTACTCATAAATAATGATCTACTCACCATATATGATTTTATTGTTGAAGAAGATAAATTGATGGAAATTGATGATTCCTATTAAAACAGGCTGGATGGCTCATATATATATATATATATGGATGGCGAACTCAGCAAAAATTGTATTATAATAGAAAAGAAAAGGGACCACTAATCTGGCTTTTGTTTAGAAAATAATAAATATTTTCAGTTAATGCTGTATATTAAATTGAAAGTCTAATACTATTTATTTTCCCGGTGCATGACAAGATGTTGAAATGTTACTTATAGTTGGATTTACTAGATTGTCATATTGATCTTGGTTGTTTAGGTATCTTCAGTAGACATGCAATTGAGTTCATAAATTGTCAGCTTGATCTTTTATATTATATTTCCATTATAACCATCATTTTTATACTCATCCTGCCAAAATCAGGGCATAGACATTTTTTTCCATTAGCAAACACCATGAGATCAAGTATCATGGTTAACTTTTGTTATTTAAGTTTCTTGATTTCATCCAAATGATCTATGACAGTTATGTTTCACATTATGCATCTAAGTAAGCAGGTTATGCATTTGTTAAACTATACAGGATTATAGAAACATGACTTATATCTTTTACCTGAATTTGTTTGGATCCTTTCTGCAAATGATCCTTGCTCTATTGGAAATACTAGATGAATCAGCTGGTAGTAGGAGATACTCAACGTCACCAATGTCGCCATTAAGACCAATGCTTCGACAGCCATAGCCGAGGGGATTTGGAGGTCCAGCCCGCTGCTTCTCTGCTGCTGGCAAATTAAAGAATTCTACCCCCGCAGCCTCCAACTGTGCTGAAACACTGGGCTCTACTCTATGGTTGATTACCTTAAAGAATCCAAATTCTTCGCAGGTCTTCACGATGAGCTGAGAGATGAGAGACCGATCAAGGGAGAGGTCGATGACCGGGATGCCCGGCAGCACCCGACCACGACTGTTTGAGCCTGGAGCCATGGATGCCACTACCATGTTCCAGAAATTGAATTAGTAGGAATGAAAGGCTTGGGTTGGTGTTAGAGTAACTTTTAAAAGGAGCTGAAATCTGAAGAGATTGCAAAATAGTATCGGTGGGAGTATTCTGTCAAAATTCTCTTGGTGGGGGACCGTGAAGTTGACCACTTTGGATGTCTATTTTTTTTGGGCTATTATTTTATTAAATACTGTTGGTGTTGATCTACTGTGACTTTAAATAGTATAAGGTGCTTATGTGACAGCTAATTAGGTTGATAAAGATCTTAAAAGTTGTTATCAAAATTAAGTATTCAAATCTCTTATTTCTAATTTATATCTTATCATTCACTATTAAAAAACCAAACAAACAAAAAAAAATCTATACGATGCTGACTTGTTGCTTCACTCTTGCAGGGGTCCCTTCATTCTGAGGCTTAATTTCAAATCTGTTTGATGAAATGCCTCCACAACATTTGCATCCAGCTGTTGGGGTACCTAAAAAGCTGATATGTATTCGGCGCGCAGGAAGGTTGGTACACACAAAATTAAAGCTCTTAACCAAATATTTCCTGTCCTATATTTGTTAGTTACTATCTATTCTTCTGACTCATCACTACTGGAACTGCTTCTTTTTCTTAGAAATCACTTTGTCATGCTTGTTGATGACTTGAAATATAGAGAAAAATGCTCTGCAAAGCACACTAGAATGTACAATTATAGCCAGGAAATGCCTAAGTACCAAACCAAGTAAATTAGTAAAACTTTTTAGGTTGCATATCTGCTTTAGAAAATTTAGGGGAATCATCTTTCAGCTCCAAAGTTGACCACTTCTATAAAGAAATATTCCATGTGTTTTAGAATGTATATAGAATGACAGTTTGTCAAAGCAATTAGCTATAGAGGGGAATAACTTAGAATTGAAAAAGGGTAGGAATGGCTTAATCATCCATTTGTAAAGTTGTTATGGATTAAAGAATTCTTAGGACAATTTTTCTTAATCAAACCTTCAGGACCGCACATGTGTTCTATGAGATTTATATCAGAAACTTTGGATTTGCAATCCTCTTCGCCATTGCTGCATGACTTGACCTATCAGAGCTGATCCAGTGCAGCCAGATCTGGCACTGAATCCTTTTTTTTTTTTTAATTTTCTGTTAAAAAGCAAATATTATTTAGGTTTTTTTGGGAAACTGGAATTGGATGAGTCTTGTCGAGTGACTATTTATTGATTCGACACTACACGAATTTATCAATTGTGTAGTGTCCTAAGTTTTGTACGAAAAAAACGGTGGGAATGTTGTGAATTACAATAAATTTCAAAAACACCCTTATTAGATGTAATTAAGTGTTGACATTTAGTTGTTTTTTATTATTTTTATTATTTTGTGGATGTTTCTTCATTTATTATTCATACATGTCAATAACATTTAATTCATTAGCAATTTAGCATGAATCTCTAGGTGATATTTGTATTAAATTCAAGTCCATTCAAGTCCATTCGAACACCAATTTTAAGCTAGCTTATATTCAAACTGAAAGTCTTGACAAGATAAATCAATTGACACCACAAATGATTGGATCTGCCAACAAATGAATCCAAATCCAACACTTCAAGCATATTTGAAAATTTTTAAATATTAATTGAATAATCAAACAGTCTTTAGATCCTACATGTGTATGGTTAAATTGAGAGGCTTTATGAGCTGATATGATAAATTTAAGTTCATTTGATTTTGACATTTTTAAGATACCCAAATGTTAGACAAATGATCTATATGATCAAGAGCATCAATATAGTTTGATGTAGTGTTTTAGATTCCGACTAAATTTACGAAAATGTCCTTCTCAAAATATTATAAATAGTGAAGGATGTTCAAGAGTTGAGAGAGAGTTGGAATACTAGTGTATTTTCTAGCGATTACCATCTCCGCCATCGCCACACTTCCATTATTTCAGCTATTGTCGTGTTGTTGTTAACATCAAATCCTATTGTTATTTTTTAATTATCTGCTTTTGGACTTCTAATTTCTGCAATCCCTATAATGAGAATCATACATTAGTTTCAAATGTGTATAATTCTATTTTATTCAATTGTGATGTAGTGATGATTCTTATATTTTTTTATTATATAATGAATTATTGCAAATGAGCCACACAACATGATTTTTCCTATTCTTGGGTTTTACATGTAAAAAAATTAGGTCTCAAATAACTTTTATTTGCACATTTTAGATTTTTGTACAAAGTTAAGATATAAACTTTGCTCTGACATCATAAATTTTCTTGCACATAGTTTGACGTCATTTAAGGAAAACATTTCCTATGCGAGGAGATCATAATATAGGTGATAAAGACCACTTAGGTTTTACTTTGAAGGATTTTATGTTTAAGATGGAAGAACTTCAAGTTCAAATATTATAATTCTCATAGGAGATTGAACAATCAAGAAGCCCAAGTTCTTCCATCACAAAATCAAGAACAAATTGGGTTTCTTACTTTTGTTGATAGCAAGACTTATTATCGAGCAATTCATCATCTACCAAGAAATCAAGGATTCATCAAAATGAGGGAGATACTCTAAGTAAATACTTTCAATGAATCTCTTATGAAGCATATCAAATCTTGAGTGGATTCAAATTTATTATAAGGGGTATTTTAGGGAGTCTCTGCCCTAGACCTTTTATTCCTTATTTATGCAAGAAATAGTCTGCTCCTACGATTGATTTTATTCATGGAGTAGAAGAATAAATAATTATTGACAATGTCATTTTTGCTCATTAAAGGCAATTTGAATAATTCTCAAATAAACATAATAATTCTTAATATGAAATTAATTAGCTTCCTCGATGAAAAAATCAAGTGCAGTCAAGAGACCAAAGATGCAAAACCCTACATGAGGTCCTGGTTGGGTGCCCATGTTTTACTTGGACAGGCTTCGCCCACCCACACCCACCACCCATGGTGAATTCCAGGATTTCATACCCATCAACTTTCTATGTTTTTTGAACACAGTTTGCCACGGAGTGATGGCCTTGAGGATTGTTGTCATTACTATGATGGCAAACTTTCAAGTAATATATCAAAATTTATCGTACTCGTAGCGTGGTTAAGTGTTGCACAATATGTAGTGATGATTGCAGAAGTATAAGTAAGATATATAGTGATTATCAATGTAAATTGATTTATCCCTCGATATTTAGTACCCACCCATACCCACCCACAAGGTCATGAGCGTATCCATACCCATTGGGTATGGGTGGGTACATGGGTGGGTGTGGGTATGGGTACCCAATGCAGGGCTCTGCAAAGATGTCATGACCAAATCTTGCTTTGGTTATCCAACTGCACCATATTAAATATATTCAGGGCTAGCATCTTAACGAAGATCCAAAATTTTGAGCATTCAAGTGGCCATAGCATCAAACAAATGCAAATGGGGGAGATTCATTTCAATATTGTCAGTTCTACTTTCCAAGAGAATATTCAACATAAAAAATATTTTTAATTGAAGGAAAAAAATTAAATGTTTGATTCGCCAAGGATATTTCAGTAATTATTTATTGGAATGGCTTATTCATCGCCTTAAAATACAGAAGACCAAAAGGGTCATTGCAAGAAAATTATCAAAATTATGGAATATGAATGTCATTATGCTAGAAGATTTGATCACAAAAATAACTCAAAAGTTGAACTTAAAATTTCTAAAAGAGGTTATATATTGACCTCTATTGGAGAGAAATATATGTTTCAACTAAGTTTTTTATTTGAATTATTAATGAAATCCTCTTTATAAATAATATTGTATATAACAAAAAACCTAGGAGATACACTTATCACATCGCATTGATGGAAAGTTAGCAGTGGATATGATATGCACTAAAAGACCCAATGAGGATAACTGACTAACATCGTCTTTTACATATAACCACCGGATGGCATGCTCATGAGGTAGCTTCGATGAGAAGCTAGTAAGGAATAGGGTCCTCGATAGGAAGGATTCCTGAAAGCAAGTAGTTGATAAAATCTTCGCTCATAAAAAAATATCAGAACGTAAAGCTTTAACAGGTATAGGATTATCTAAAAATCTTAGAAGGGGTAAAGCCTCACAAGCTACATATATGCTAAAAATCTTAGAATGCATATATATACTTAAAATCTCATATGTTATACCCCTATTTAAGAGAAAAATAAACCTTTGAAAATTTGTTTGTAACTCTTTTGGATCCAAATGCTTTTAAATTGAGATAATCAAACCTCATTTCAAGTAGAAGATTGGATCTCCCTTGCAAGGAAGGAAAATCTTAAGCATTGAAGTGATGAATGATTTTTAAATGGGAGAATTTAAAAAACATAATAATAAAATTAAAAATTTTAAAAAAAAATATGAGTGGTTTTTTAAGGTGATGGAATGCCTCTATTTGAAGAAAAAAATTTTCAACAATTTTTTGCTCAAATTAATGTGCTGATTTTATGAAAAGCAAAATTGTAATTAAAAATATTTCGCTTGATTTACATACCAGAGAGGAGGCCCATTGTTGACGACATGAATTTTTTTTTGAAATTGTAATCTACAAATTTTGTGAAGACTTAACATATATTTTCGGACGATGCAAGTTTCAATATTCAATTGATAATATAATCTCAATTAAATATTTTATATGAAACTTTTGAAATAAAATTCAAGGTCATTTGAACTTTGATTTCAATAAATTTATAGTTAAATTGAATGTCTTAATAAGATAAACCTATTTAAATCACAAATGATTTGATTTATGTCCTAGATAGTACCAAATCTTACACTTGAAGTATATTTAAAATATTCGGACTAGTAATTAGTGGAGCGAATGACCTCCAAATTATACGTTCTTATAATCAAATTGAGCAGCTTGATGAGAGAAATCTAATGAGTATAAGATTATTTGATTCTTACAATATTAAAGTACTTAAATATTGGGTAAAAATTCTATGGTCAAGGGGATTTATTTGAATTTTTCGATGGAGTGTTTTGAATTTTAGCATAATTTATCAAAATGGTATTCTCAAAATACTATAAATAGGGTCTCATTCTTTGTATGGAAGAGGTTCTAAACTAAGAGCACTAAATAATACTTTATTATTTTCATGTGACCACTATTAACAACTACTATTAACAATAGTTCACCTTTTTTGTATTTTTGTTCTAGCCAATCTTTCAAAATGTAACAATCTTCTATTGGGTGGCTAACCAGCTTATGATATGGACAATAATTGGGATCATTGGATCGACCAATATGTTCAAGTTTCTTAGGCTCTGGAAATTTTAGACCAGCTTTGAGCACTTGTCGAAAGAGCTTAGCCACATTTTCTCTTTTGAATGAATGTTATTTACTCAACTTCTTGGTTGAGCTTGTAGCTATCACAATCTCCAGGCTTTCGTCAAACTCCTATTCTCGTTTGACTATTAACATCTAATCTTATTATTGAGCTTTAATTGTTTGGATATGGACGCACAATTTCTATAATTGCTTTAACAATTGTTGTCAACTGTGCATACTTTCATCTCTTTAATTGCGAGAAATGGAGGATTATTATTTTTTCTATTTTATGGTGAATTATTACAATTAGGTCACACCCCATAAATTTTCCCTTTTTTTGAAATTTCCATGTTAAAAATTATGATCTACATGATGCATTTTTATTCAAAATTAAGATATAAAACATATGATATACCATTGTAAGTTTTTTAATTTTATTTTACTTTTTTCTTGTGATGATAGTATCATGCATGTTAAAATCACCTTCTTCCCCTCCATAAAAAATTAAGGAGATTTACATACATACCATGGAATTTTTATTTATTTGTATATCTAACACCTAAATCTTTATATTCACTTATATAATTTTAAATATTAGAACAAAAATTACTCATGTTAATTTTTTTTAAACTGAAATATATATTTTATGCATATATCTATGGGGTAAAAAAAAATTATGCATATATTTTTACATGATTTAAACATAAAAGTGCTATATAAAATTTTAAGGGTTATATATATAAATATATAAGAATTCTTTGCTATGAATCTAAATCTCCCAAAACTTTTTTATTAAGAATTTAAAACTTTCACATTTAATTTAAAGTTTAAGAGAGGAATATTGGATTAGAGCATCATGTTCTTCTAATAAATGTAAATTTATAAAATTAATTGAATTAGTTGATTATTAGTGTCTTTTCCCATCTTTTTAGAGAATTGTTTGGTGTGATATCTCTGCTTTAGGCATCAAATAAATATTGAAGTGGAAAACAATTTATTACTTAAAAATTTCAAATTCTCTTAAATGAACAATTATGAGAAAATGTTAAGGGTTTCTTTGGATTCCTCATAGGGCAAATCTATCTTTCTTGT